TTTTTTTTTTCTTAAATCAAAGAACTTTTTTTTATTTTAAATCAAAGAACTTTTTTGTTTGTTTTTTTAACTCAAAGAACTTTTTTTTTTTAAATCACACAAGTTGTTTTTTTGTTCTTTTTAAAAAAAAATGAAAAGTTATTTGATTAAAAAATACAACAAAAAAAGTTCTTTGATTTAAAAAAAAAAAAAAAAGTTCTTGGATTTAAAAAATTTAAAAATGGAAACATTTCTGGCATGATCCAAAAAAATCCAGACGGACAATGTTTTAATATCTTTCCACAATGCCTAAAACCGTTTCCTCGCTGTTTAGAATTTTATATCCATAACTGATGTGCATGAAATTTACAGTGAGGAATACAGCGAACTTATTTTCTGTATATACACGATATTGCCCCAAGTATTGGGCCGCCTGCCTTCCCACCACATGAATGCAGATGAATGAACAGGAAGCACTCAGGGATTTCACGTTTTGTTCACAAATTGAAGCATAGAAAACACAGTTTACTATGCTTCAGAAAGGAATGGAGGCAGGAGCGGTACCAATCAATTACTGTGTTCATTCGGAAAAGGAAGGTGCCGTAAATGACAAGTATTTTTACATATATTTGTAAACGCATTCCAAAAATGTAGATTAAATGTATTTTTAAAGACATGCAGTATATTTGAAAATGCATTTTTTAAAATATTTTTCATATATATTGTAATAGAAATGCATTTCAACATAATATATATATATTGTTTTTTTTTGTTTTTTTTTAATATTCCCTCCCAAATATATTGACATATATTTGAAATACTACAATTTTGGCCGAATTCAATATATTTTAATACATTATATATATATATATATATCTATCCCGGATGTAGATACAATATACAGGTGAAACTGGAACAATGAGAATCTGGTGCCTTCATTCATTCATTCATTCATTCATTTATTTCAGTGCAGCAACTTAAAAGGTGACACTAATATATGAGACTCATTCCATGCAAAGCAAGATAGTTCCAGCCGTGATTTGTCATCATTGTGATGATTATGGCTTACAGCTCATGAAAACCCCAAATCCACAACCTCAGAAAATGAGAATATTCCATGCAATCAATAAAACACGGATTGTACATAGAACAATATCGCACCTCTGAGAAGTAGAAGCTGCATATGTACTCAGTACTTGGTTGGGGCCCCTTTTGCAGCAATTACTGCCTCAATGCGGCGTGGCATGGAAGCTATCAGCCTGTGGCACTGCTGAGGTGTTATGGAAGACCGGGATGCTTCAATAGCGGCCTTCAGCTCTTCTGCAAGTTTGCTGGCCAATCAAGCACAGTAATCCCACGGTCATTGAACCAGGTTTTGGTGCTTTTGGCAGTGTGGGCGGAGCCAAGTCCTGCTGGAAAATGAAGTCAGCGTCCCCATAAAGCTGGTCTGTGGAAGGAAGCATGAAGTGCTCCAAAATCTCCTGGTAGACGGCTGCGGTGACCCTGGACTTAATGAAGCACAGTGGGCCAACACCAGCAGATGACATGGCTCCCCAAATCAACACAGACTGTGGAAACTTCACACTGGACTTCAAGCATCTTGCAGTGTGTGCCTCTCCATTCTTCCTCCATACTCGGGGTCCTCGGGCCTCTCCATTCTTCCCCCATACTCGGGGTCCTTGGGCCTCTCCGTTCTTCCCCCATACTCGGGGTCCTTGGGCCTCTCCATTCTTCCTCCATACTCGGGGTCCTTGGGCCTCTCCGTTCTTCCTCCATACTCGGGGTCCTTGTGCCTCTCCATTCTTCCTCCATACTCGGGGTCCTTGGGCCTCTCCGTTTCTTCCCCCATACTCGGGGTCCTTGGGCCTCTCCGTTCTTCCCCCATACTCGGGTCCTTGGGCCTCTCCGTTCTTCCTCCATACTCGGGGTCCTTGGGCCTCTCCGTTCTTCCTCCATACTCGGGGTCCTTGGGCCTCTCCGTTCTTCCTCCATACTCGGGGTCCTTGGGCCTCTCCGTTCTTCCTCCATACTCGGGGTCCTTGGGCCTCTCCGTTCTTCCTCCATACTCGGGGTCCTTGGGCCTCTCCGTTCTTCCTCCATACTCGGGGTCCTTGGGCCTCTCCGTTCTTCCTCCATACTCGGGGTCCTTGGGCCTCTCCGTTCTTCCTCCATACTCGGGGTCCTTGGGCCTCTCCGTTCTTCCTCCATACTCAGAGTCCTTGGGCCTCTCCATTCTTCCTCCATACTCGGGGTCCTTGTGCCTCTCCATTCTTCCTCCATACTCGGGGTCCTTGGGCCTCTCCGTTCTTCCTCCATACTCGGGGTCCTTGGGCCTCTCCGTTCTTCCTCCATACTCGGGGTCCTTGGGCCTCTCCGTTCTTCCTCCATACTCGGGGTCCTTGGGCCTCTCCGTTCTTCCTCCATACTCGGGGTCCTTGGGCCTCTCCGTTCTTCCTCCATACTCGGGGTCCTTGGGCCTCTCCGTTCTTCCTCCATACTCGGGGTCCTTGTGCCTCTCCATTCTTCCCCCATACTCGGGGTCCTTGGGCCTCTCCATTCTTCCTCCATACTCGGGGCCCTTGGGCCTCTCCATTCTTCCTCCATACTCGGGGCCCTTGGGCCTCTCCATTCTTCCTCCATACTCGGGGTCCTTGTGCCTCTCCGTTCTTCCTCCATACTCGGGGTCCTTGGGCCTCTCCGTTCTTCCTCCATACTCGGGGTCCTTGGGCCTCTCCATTCTTCCTCCATACTCGGGGTCCTTGGGCCTCTCCATTCTTCCTCCATACTCGGGGTCCTTGTGCCTCTCCATTCTTCCTCCATACTCGGGGTCCTTGGGCTCTCCATTCTTCCTCCATACTCGGGGTCCTTGGGCCTCTCCATTCTTCCTCCATACTCGGGGTCCTTGTGCCTCTCCATTCTTCCTCCATACTCGGGGTCCTTGTGCCTCTCCATTCTTCCTCCATACTCGGGGTCCTTGTGCCTCTCCATTCTTCCTCCATACTCGGGGTCCTCGGGCCTCTCCATTCTTCTTCCATACTCGGTGTCCTTTCGCCCATGTCCAGGATCCGTCTGTGTGTGGTGGCTCTTGATGCACTGACTCCAGCCTCAGTCCACTCCTTGTGAAAGTCCCCAACACTATTGAATGGCCTCTTCCTGACAATCCTCTCCAGGCTGCGGTGATCCCTGCTGCTTGTGCACCTTTTTCTCCCACACTTTTCCCTCCCACATAACTTTCTATTAATGTGCTTTGATACAGCACTTTGGGAACATCCAACTTCTTCTGCAATTCCCTTTTGAGGCTTTCCCTCCTTATGGAGGGTGTCAGTGATGGTGTCAGGTCAGCAGTCTGTCCCATGATTGTGATTCCTACTGAACCAGACTGAGAGACCATTGAAAGGCTCAGGAACCCTTTGCAGGTGTTATGGCTGAATGAGCTGATTAGAGTGGGACACTTTGAGCCGAGATTATTCCACCTTTTCCCAATATTCTCATTTTCTGAGATTGTGGATTTGGGGTTTTCATGAGCTGTAAGCCATAATCATCACAATGATGACAAATCACGGCTGGAACTATCTTGCTTTGCATGGAATGAGTCTCATATATTAGTGTCACCTTTTAAGTTGCTGCACTGAAATCAATGAATGAATCAATGAATGAATGAAGGAATGAAGGAATGAAGGAATGAAGGCACCATATTCTCATTGTTCCAGTGTCCCCTGTACACACACACATATATATATATACACTGCATGTCGAAATGCATTTTATATATTAGAAAGTATCTGAAAAATATTTTTAAAAGTATTTTTTTTTTCCATATAAAAAAGTCATTTTAACATATATTTGTAAACGCATTCCAAAAATGGAGATTAAATGTATTTTTAAAAATATTTTTCATTTATTTTGTAATAAAAATGCATTTCAACATACAGCATATATATACTTTATATACTTTATATATTTTGTATATTTTTACAATATTCTTCCCAAATATGTTGACATGTATTTGAAATACTACAATTTTGGCCGTATTCCATATATTTAAAAATATATTTAATTAAATAAATAGATATACTGTATATAATTGAATTATATTGAATACGGCTAAAATTGTAGAATTTCAAATACATGTCAATATATTTGGGAAGAATATTTAAAATATATATTTAGAAAATATATTTTGCTACCATGTGGGTGGTGGGGAATGCAGACATTTGAAACTTCCAGAAGTGTCAAATACCAAAACATCCTAGAAAGGCCTCAGCACTGGGTGGGCAGTGAAGGGTCAGCAGTGAAGGGCCGGAAATGAAGGGCCAGCAGTGAAGGGCCGGAAATGAGGGGGCAGCAGTGAAGGGCCGGAAATGAGGGGCCAGCAGTGAAGGGCCAGCAGTGAAGGGCCGGAAAGGAGGGGCCAGCAGTGAAGGGCCAGCAATGAAGGGCCAGCAGTGAAGGGCCAGCAATGAAGGGCCAGCAGTGAAGGGTCAGCAATGAGAGTGAGCAGTGAAGGGTCGGCAGTGAAGGGCCAGCAATGAAGGGCCGGCAGTGAAGGGTCAGCAATGAAGGGCCAGCAGTGAAGGGCCGGCAGTGAAGGGCCAGCAAGTGAAGGGCCAGCAGTGAAGGGTCAGCAGTGAAGGGCCAGCAGTGAAGGGCCAGCAGTGAAGGGCCAGAAGTGAAGGGCCAGCAATGAAGGGCCGGCAGTGAAGGGCCAGCAATGAAGGGTCGGCAGTGAAGGGCCAGCAATGAAGGGTCGGCAGTGAAGGGCCAGCAGTAAAGGGCCAGCAATGAAGGGTCGACAGTGAAGGGCCAGCAGTGGCAGTGAAGGGCCAGCAGTGAAGGGCCAGCAATGAAGGGTCGGCAGTGAAGGGTCGGCAGTGAAGGGCCAGCAGTGGCAGTGAAGGGCCAGCAGTGAAGGGCCAGCAGTGGCAGTGAAGGGCCAGCAGTGAAGGGCCAGTGAAGGGCCAGCAGTGGCAGTGAAGGGCCAGCAGTGAAGGGCCCCTTAGTGGAGACCTTAGTGCTCTTACCGTAAGTAATCCCTGCGGCAGAGTATGAGATTTGCTTTTGTGTAGAGGGTGGAGCCGACCTCGCCCAATCGGCAGTCGCAGCAGGCGCACTTCAGGCAGTCTTCATGCCAGTACTTGTCCAGCGCCTTGAGCAGGTAGCGGTCCTTGATCTTCCGGTTGCACCCGGCGCACCCTTTCTGCTTTCCCTTCGGCTGGACTGAGAGCATCGGCACTCCTAGAGGAAGAGAAGAGAACGTCACACTCTGCGGGGGGGAGGGGGCTGACAACTACTGACAACATTTCAAACCATTTCTACAATTGGATGGACTGAAGACTGATCACCTGACCAACTGAACGCCCAATCCTGTGCAAGGGAGATAAAAAAAAAAGCAGAACTTTTTTCTTGCAGTGATTGGAGGATCGAGGTGAACGCCCCTTCGTTGGTATCAGTGGGAGGAATAGTGCCCCATCATTGGTGTCAGTGGGAGGGTGCCCCATCATTGGTGTCAGTGGGAGGAATAGTGCCCCATCATTGGTGTCAGTTGGGAATAGTGCCCCATCATTGGTGTCAGTGGGAGGAATAGTGCCCCATCATTGGTGTCAGTGGGAGGAATAGTGCCCCATCATTGGTGTCAGTGGGAGGAATAGTGCCCCATCGTTGGTGTCAGTGGGAGGAATAGTGCCCCATCATTGGTGTCAGTGGGAGGAATAGTGCCCCATCATTGGTATCAGTGGGAGGAATAGTGCCCCATCATTGGTGTCAGTGGGAGGAATAGTGCCCCGTCGTTGGTGTCAGTGGGGGGAATAGTGTCCCATCATTGGTGTCAGTGGGGGGAATAGTGCCCCGTCATTGGTGTCAGTGGGAGGAATAGTGCCCCGTCATTGGTGTCAGTGGGAGGAATAGTGCCCCATCATTGGTGTCAGTGGGGAGGAATAGTGCCCCATCATTTGGCAGTGGGAGGAATAGTGCCCCATCATTGGTGTCAGTGGGAGGAATAGTGCCCCCATCATTGGTGTCAGTGGGAGGAATAGTGCCCCATCATTGGTGTCAGTGGGAGGAATAGTGCCCCGTCGTTGGTGTCAGTGGGGGGAATAGTGCCCCGTCGTTGGTGTCAGTGGGGGGAATAGTGCCCCATCATTGGTGTCAGTGGGGGGAATAGTGCCCCATCATTGGTATCAGTGGGAGGAATAGTGCCCCATCATTGGTGTCAGTGGGGGGAATAGTGCCCCATCGTTGGTGTCAGTGGGGGGATAGTGCCCAATCGTTGGGGTCAGTGGGAGGAATAGTGCCCATCATTGGTGTCAGTGGGGGAATAGTGCCACATCGTTGGGGTCAGTGGGAGGAATAGTGCCCCATCATTGGTGTCAGTGGGGGGAATAGTGCCCCATCGTTGGAGTCAGTGGAAGGAATAGTGCCCCATCATTGGTGTCAGTGGGAGGAATAGTGCCCCATCATTGGTATCAGTGGGAGGAATAGTGCCCCATCATTGGTATCAGTGGGAGGAATAGTGCTCCATCATTGGTGTCAGTGGGAGGAATAGTGCCCCATCATTGGTGTCAGTGGGAGGAATAGTGCCCCCGTCATTGGTGTCAGTGGGAGGAATAGTGCCCCATCATTGGTGTCAGTGGGAGGAATAGTGCCCCATCATTGGTGTCAGGGGAGGAATAGTGCCCCATCATTGGTGTCAGTGGGAGGAATAGTGCCCCATCGTTGGTGTCAGTGGGAGGAATAGTGCCCCATCGTTGGTGTCAGTGGGAGGAATAGTGCCCCATCATTGGTGTCAGTGGGAGGAATAGTAGTGGTGTCCCCATCATTGGTGTCAGTGGGAGGAATAGTGCCCCATCATTGTGTCAGTGGGAGGAATAGTGCCCCATCATTGGTGTCAGTGGGAGGAATAGTGCCCCATCATTGGTGTCAGTGGGGGAATAGTGCCACATCGTTGGGGTCAGTGGGAGGAATAGTGCCCCATCGTTGGTGTCAGTGGGGGGAATAGTGCCACATCGTTGGGGTCAGTGGGAGGAATAGTGCCCCATCATTGGTGTCAGTGGGGGGAATAGTGCCACATCGTTGGAGTCATTAGTGCCCCATCATTGGTGTCAGTGGGAGGAATAGTGCCCCATCATTGGTATCAGTGGGAGGAATAGTGCCCCATCATTGGTATCAGTGGGAGGCAAATAGTGCCCCATCATTGGTTCAGTGGTAGTCCCCAGGTGGGGAGGAATAGTGCCCCGTCATTGGTGTCAGTGGGAGGAATAGTGCCCCATCATTGGTGTCAGTGGGAGGAATAGTGCCCCATCATTGGTGTCAGTGGGAGGAATAGTGTCCCATCATTGGTGTCAGTGGGAGGAATAGTGCCCCGTCGTTGGTGTCAGTGGGAGGAATAGTGCCCCGTCGTTGGTGTCAGTGGGAGGAATAGTGCCCCATCATTGGTGTCAGTGGGAGGAATAGTGCCCCATCATTGGTGTCAGTGGGAGGAATAGTGCCCCATCATTGGTGTCAGTGGGAGGAATAGTGCCCCGTCATTGGTGTCAGTGGGAGGAATAGTGCCCCATCATTGGTGTCAGTGGGAGGAATAGTGCCCCATCATTGGTGTCAGTGGGAGGAATAGTGTCCCATCATTGGTGTCAGTGGGAGGAATAGTGCCCCGTCGTTGGTGTCAGTGGGAGGAATAGTGCCCCGTCATTGGTGTCAGTGGGAGGAATAGTGCCCCATCATTGGTGTCAGTGGGAGGAATAGTGCCCCCATCATTGGTATCAGTGGGAGGAATAGTGCCCCATCATTGGTGTCAGTGGGAGGAATAGTGCCCCATCATTGGTGTCAGTGGGAGGAATAGTGCCCCATCATTGGTGTCAGTGGGAGGAATAGTGCCCCATCATTGGTGTCAGTGGGAGGAATAGTGCCCCGTCGTTGGTGTCAGTGGGAGGAATAGTGCCCCATCATTGGTGTCAGTGGGAGGAATAATTGCGTTTCTACCATAAAGCGATCTTTAGTTCCGTGTCTCCAGCGCGGAACGCATATTCGTCACGCACGGCGCGGGTCGTTCTATAGGAAGGACGATTAAACTGGCGGGCAGCCTCCTTTCCCGCGCTCCCACTTTCCGGAGGACGAATACAAGTCCGTGTAATCGATGCCCGCGGGGGATAATGGCCGCCACACACTTGACATTTTGTAGAAGTCGTAAAATAAATTAAAGGGGGGCGGGGCTGGTGGGGGCGGGGCTGGCGGTGGCGTCGCGGAAGACGCGCTCCTCTCTCTAATCACTGACAGCGAAGATAAAAGCTTCGGGACGACGGCACTTAAGACGATTTCACACAAACACGGAACGATCGATCCATTGGAGAACGCAGTAGCTGCACTGCCATGGAGACGGCGGAGGAACGGCCACTTAGACGTTTCCAAAGTCGCAGTTTTTTTTTTCTCGCCCGTCTCTCCCAGCGCCGATAATGATTTAAAGTGGCGATCGTTCACGCCGCCTGTAAGTGCGCATTTTCCTTCCTCGCCGCTCCGCTTAATACATTGAAATGGTAAAAATAAATATCTTTGCTGCCTGAGACGCGTTAAGTGCTGCCGACCCGACATTCCCAGAATCCTCCTCTCTGGGGCGTGAAACGCGCGCACAAAGGGGGCGGTAAAAAGCAGAATGTAGCAATAAATATTCAAAGGGATCGCTGATCTGCCGTGCCATATGATCGGCCGTGCCGTGATCTGCCGTGCCATGTCATTGGCCGTGCCGTGATCTGTCGTGCCATGTCATTGGCCCGTGTGATCGGCCGTGCCGTGAGATCTGCCGTGCCGTGTGATCGGCCGTGCCATGCGATCTGCCGTGCCGTGTGATTGGCCGTGCCATGCGAGTTGCATGTCATGCGCTATTGTCCGGAAATAAAGCCGTCCTATCGGTGTGAGATCGACTCGTAACATAATAATGTTCAATAACGGAATCGATCGATCAGAGAAGATCCACCTTCTATCAGTAAAAAAAAGCTGTCCTTCAATCGGTGACTCTGCCTAGGCTGAGATGATGTCATCAGTCTGCTGCAGGCAGGAGGAGGCATTTCCTCAGTTTCCCTTCCCCCAGTGATCAGACTGTACATTGTAACTTTGTAAAAGGCGGCAGCACAGTGTCTAAATGGTCAGCACTTCCGCCTGGCAGTACTCGGGTCGTTGGTTCAAATCCCAACCACAGCACCACCTGCCTGAAATTTGCATGTTCTCCCTGTGCCTGTGTGGGTTTCCTCCGGGTACTCCGGTTTCCTCCCACACTCCAAAGACATGCTGGTAGGTGAATTGGCTCCGGTCTAAATTGTCCCTAGTATGTGTATGTATGATGGGAGTTAGGGACCTTAGATTGTACACTCCTCGGGGGCGGGGGACTGATGTGAATGTACAATATATATGTAAAGTGCTGCGTAAATTGACGGGGCTATATAAGTACCTGAAATAAATAAATAAGGAGGAGGAGGCATTTCCTCAGTCTCCCCTCCCCCAGTGATCAGACTGTACATTGTAACTTTGTAGAAGGAGGAGGAGGCATTTCCTCAGTCTCTCCTCCCCAGTGATCCTGTACATTGTAACTTTGTAGAAGGAGGAGGAGGCATTTCCTCAGTCCCTCCCCCAGTGATCAGACTGTACATTGTAACTTTGTAGAAGGAGGAGGAGTCATTTCCTCAGTCTCCCCTCCCCCAGTGATCAGACTGTACATTGTAACTTTGTAGAAGGAGGAGGAGTCATTTCCTCAGTCTCCCCTCCCCCAGTGATCAGACTGTACATTGTAACTTTGTAGAAGGAGGAGGAGTCATTTCCTCAGTCTCCCCTCCCCCAGTGATCAGACTGTACATTGTAACTTTGTAGAAGGAGGAAGCATTTCTTCAGTCTTCAGGTAGAGGAGACGACCCCAACAAAGAGGTAGAGGATCTGACCCCAACAAAGAGGTAGAGGAGACCACCCCAACAAAGAGGTAGAGGAGACCACCCCAACGAAGAGGAAGAGGAGACGACCCCAACGAAGAGGCAGAGGAGACGACCCCAACGAAGAGGCAGAGGAGACGACCCCAACAAAGAGGTAGAGGAGACCACCCCAACAAAGAGGTAGAGGAGACGACCCCAACAAAGGGGTAGAGGAGATGACCCCAACAAAGAGGTAGAGGAGACGACCCCAACAAAGGGGTAGAGGAGCCGACCCCAACAAAGAGGTAGAGGAGACGACCCCAACAAAGAGGTAGAGGAGACCACCCCAACA